CATGCAATGGCAACGGTGGGTTGCAGTTATGTTTTTATAGATTTGTCATGTCACGTGTCCATATTCAGACCTATTTATTCAACGGCAAGAGGTTGACATACTAATAGTTGAAATAGGAAACCAATGGCAATGCGGCAATACAATCATTGAACCATAGCCTAGGCCTAGCCGTCAAATCAAATCTATTTCTTTGAGTTGGCACACGTTGGCGTCTCATAAGCAGCAAAACATACAGTTCAGCCATTGCAGCATGGTCCATAGGGCCATAGTGGTTTAAATTGAACCCTGAAATCAGCGATAATGGCCGGTCAAGGCCAAAACACCAAACAATGATCTCAACTAGAACCCCCAACTTGACTGCTTGCTGCACGCTGACAAATCCGAAGCATAGGCGCCAATTTCCCCATCAGCGCAATTCCCAACGGTTGTCTTTCCAGTACCAAGTTAAGCCGTTCCTGTATGGTCGAACTGCTTTGTGTGTACTGTGTACTGTCAGTGGTGCCATGGTCTTGTGACTCATAGCTTCAGGAGCCTATATTACACAGGCATAAAACAGGCATGGTGATACATCAGGGGCGCTTTCGCCAAGACATGAAACGGGTGCGGATTTCATCCAATTCCTCACTTTCACTTTGCGTCTCCAGCCGAGCACCGGCCAAAACAGCAATCAGAGCTGCCATTATGCATGGCATTGCAAACCTGATTGGCGCATATTGGCAGACGTGTCGCCGATAACATCAACCGAGAAAAATAGACATCGACATTGACGTCAAAAATATATGGCTTCACTGGGTTACTGAGTTTGAAGTATGTTTATTGGCACATATTGGCGGAAGTGTCACCGATACCATATCAATCAAGAAAACAGACATTGACATCGACATTGAAGTCAACAATATGGCTTCACTGGGTTACTGAGTTTGAAGCATGTTTCCGGCAAGATCAGACAACTGAGTCTCCGGGTGCGTGTTTTCATGTTCCAGGTCGTCGAGGAGGAGGCCTTGCAATCGAAGAAGCTCTTGTCCTGTCAGCCAGGGCAAAGCCACTCGCTAAAGATAAATAGATCCAAAGCAAAACTCGTACCACGTACATTCATAGACTGATATAGTCTATAGTCTATAGTAGTTACAAGTTACATGTTTACATGAGAATGAGTTACATGGTAACAAGTAACAAGGTTACATAGGTGTAGCTGCAGGCTGCAGCTGTTGCAAGTGCAATGTTAAACCACCTATTACTGAACCAAAGAGAATTCTGAATCCTACATTAGATGAATCAATATGAACATGAATAATTTAATCAATGAATCATATAGTTTGCCCGGCCTGCCCACACCCGATGGCAGCATCATTCAGGTGCTCGTTCGGAGACATGGTTTTAGTTTGTTTTAGTTTCAAGTTTCAAGTTTTAAGTTTTGTCTTAGCTTAGTAGTTGTTAAGTTGCGCCAACCCATTCCCAGTTTGCAAAATCAGGGTTGGTTTCCACTTGCCTTGCAGTTGTCTCCCAAATCTACCCCAGTTGTTTCTCTTCCACCGCCACCATCGCCCCCAGTGGGCAAAGCCCTCACTTACGCACTTAGGATTTCACTCACTTGCGCACTTACCCTCACTTGCGCACTTCACCACAAAATTTCACTCACTTGCGCACTTACCTGAACAAGGGGGGAGGGGGGTCGCATAGGGAACCAGGGGGGTAGGTGGGACCAGGGGGGGGAGGGTTGTTGAAATAAGGACAAGGGGGGCAGGGGGGAAACAAGGGGGAGGGGGGGTCCCGCATAGGGAACAGGGGGGCAGTGGGGAACGAGGTGGAGGGGGGGGTCGCATATGGAAAAAGGGGGGGCAGGGGTTACGGGGGGGACAAGGGCGGAGGGGGGTGACAACAGGGGGAAAACAGGGAGAGGGGGGAGGGGAGAGGGGACGTGTTGGATTGGGAACAAGGACATAAGCATGGGGTGAAACATACATGTGACACTGAGCTATGTATATACATAGTGCGAAAATAATGTCCCCAAACAAGGATTACAGTCAGAAGCCAAGTCGGAGGGCGGCCCGGGAACAAGAGAAGGGGGGGCGGGTGAGGGGCAACTTAACGTTACCACCGAGGCGTACCTTCCTTGATCAAATACATACGCTGGTCACAAGACACTACAATTTTGGAATCCCCCTTTGAATTAAGTGAGAGTGTTGGTCTCATAGATTTTAGTGTTAGATTTGTCTCATAGATTTTATGCTCAGCAAATGTGGAGGGGGTAAGAATTTTCAAAAGAAAGAGAGAGTAATTTTTTTATATGTTATAATATATGTGGGAAGGGTTCATCATCATCTATAGCAAAAAAATAGTCAGCGGCATCATCATTGGCAGAAGCAAAAGGCAGCATGAACACGTTTCACTTGAATAACTCTAAATTAAAAATGAAAGCAATCCAATCACCACACCATACATCATATATCTAGATAATATGACCACTGGGGGTATGCTTGGAAACTTCCGCAGAAAGAGCGTGTCGCTCCCTCCCAGTGGTTCATTTATATATTATATATTCATAATAATATTTAATAAAACATATCTATTGAAACCCTCCCTGAAAGGCCTTCTAATAAAACAGCTTCCCCAAATCTCATTCTTTGACAGCTGGCCTGAATGCTCCAGTTGCCCTTGCCTAGCTTACCTCATGCAGTCCCAAATTTATAAAGCTCTCTTGCTCCAAGTGTTCAGTGTCAACCGCGTCTGAGTTGACCTGAAGATGCAGTTTAAACATACATGTGCCTCTTGTCATGTCTAAAACTAACACGTTACTTTGCCCCATGGCACAGGAGGCTTGAATCCGAATGGCATCGACAACAAAATCATAAGTGCACAAGCGAGGAGAATCGCAAGTGCACAAGCGAGGCAAATCATAGGTGCACAAGCGAGTGCTCGCCCCCGCCAGTGCATCTTGTCACGATAGTCATCACATCAGTGTGGACGACCAAACTGCGTACTGCATTGGTCATTGGTTACCTAGCTGCTGGAACTACTGGAAACATTAGTTGTCACACCCTGCATGGGTCCATTGTTTGGTCACAACAACGCAGACTCCAGGGACCACATCCCAGTTGCTGCTACCAGCTGGAAGCAAGCAGTGCTCTTGCGCTTTCAAGTACGGTGAGTTGACCAATGGGCAACTGTGTTTTTTTGGCAATTATCTAGCAAGGATCTACCGCCAGAACTACGCTTGGCCTAGCCATTAAAACTTGAGGAGCAGCTGCTGTCACTCAAATATCTTTACAAGTCACGTTTGTGATGCTGTCACGTCTAACAATTAGGTGAGGCGGTAATGCAGCTCAAAGAGATTTGTGAAAAGTGAAAAATTAAGGCTCTTGAGGAGTTGCCCAAGCAGGATCGGAAACAACAGGTGCAAGAATCTGCAAGAAAGCAAGAGGGAAAAAAAGCATCGGGCCAGGCGGCCTGACAATGTTTCACTTGAGTGGCATCTAGCGCCACACTAACGCAAATCTAGCGCAAGGTGCAGGAAAGCGATTTCACTGCATGTTTGCATACAGGACCCCGCCTTGCAATGCGATCTAAGATACATCACTACGGGCCCTCAGATTTAAAGGTTGTGATTTGATATAGGCATTTTAGAGCGGATCCCATGTATATGTTTATGTATGTTATGTATCATGTACGATTGATGTATGTATTATGGTATGATAATTAAAATATAAATTATGTATGGTATGTATGGTATGTATGTATGTATGTATGTATGTATGTATGTATGTATGTATGTATGTATGTATGTATGTATGTATGTATGTATGTATGTATGTATGTATGTATGTATGTATGTATGTTGGTATGTTGGTATGTTGGTATGTTGGTATGTATGTTGGTATGTATGTTGGTATGTATGTTGGTATGTATGTTGGTATGTATGTTGGTATGTATGTTGGTATGTATGTATGTATGTAATGTATGTATGTAATGTATGTATGTATGTATGTATGTATGTATGTATGTATGTATGTATGTATGTATGTATGTATGTATGTGTGTATGTATGTATGTATGTATGTATGTATGCATGTATGTATGTAGGTATGTAGGTATGTATGCATGCATGCATGCATGGATGCATGGATGCATGTATGCATGTATGCATGTATGCATGTATGCATGTATGCATGGATGCATGTATGCATGTATGCATGTATGCATGTCTGCATGTATGCATGTATGCATGTATGCATGTATGCATGTATGCATGTATGCATGTATGTATGTATGTATGTATGCATGTCTGCATGTCTGCATGTATGTATGTGTATGTATGTGTATGTATGTGTATGTATGTGTATGTGTGTGTGTGTATGTGTGTGTATGTGTATGTGTATGTGTATGTGTATGTGTATGCATGCATGCATGCATGCATGCATGTATGTATGTATGCATGCAGCATGCATTACATATGTAAGTATGTGTGAGTGGATGGATGGATGGATGGATGGATTGATGGATGGATGGATGGATTTAACTAGGTAGTAGGAGTATATTATATAATGTACGTACCGATGTGACGCAGAAAGGTAAACAAGCACACTTGCAAGTAAGTATGAGCCGTGCCGTGCCTATAAGCAATCTTTTCTTCTCCACCCAGAAGAGCTTGGAATGAGGCAGAACCGTTGGTACCACCTTGGGCCAGTCGAGCCAGAGCAAATCATAGTCCACTTGGCGTGTCACAAAACCCAACGACAACGACTAGACTCTGACTCTGTCTTCGGAAAACGGGAAAAATCATCACTCACCACTGCAGATCAAAAGACATTGGAGGCAAGTGTGGAGGTAGGAAGTCTGGATACGCCCTGGGAAATGTCAGCGAAAGCAACAAGGCGATTCTGGTCCCCACCAGCCACCCTGGAATTGCCAAGCTCGACAAAGCATAGCACCTAAGCACGACGAGTTTCAAGATGTCATGAGCCATCATGCTTCATCGGTACAACATGGTAAACATGAAATCCAATTCCCAGTGACAAAGGATGATGCAACTACACGTGTCTGTGACGGTCCGTGACGGTCAGTGATGAGAAAACAAGACACCTCCTTTTCACGGTCCGGAAGTACATGAAACCATTTGGACTCCAACAACTCCTTTGAAGGGGCCAAAGGCCACTGTACCCCATATTGCTCGGCCAACTTGCTATGGCTCTCCTTCCAAGTAGCACCACCAGAACCGGAACCTCGACCGCCAGAGGTTGCCTTCGTGCGTCTGGCAAGTTCGGTGGCCAAACTAGGATCATCATCCGGCAGAAGCAAGTCAGCCTGAGCGTTGTCATGCTGCACTGCTGAAATTACTTTGTTACAAACTATGGGCCATTCTTGCCCGAACCCGTCGGCTCTATTCTATTATGTAACTATAACTATATGATATGTAATATAACTGAGTAAAATAGAGTTTAGCACATGTAAATCATTATATCGCGGCGACCATATTCATATATTTTCTCCTTTTGCTGCTACTGCTACTGCTACTATTAATTTGTACTGCCAAATTCTAGATTGCTGTGTTCTATTCTATTTTGTCTATGTTGAAATATTTTATATACCTTACTTTACCTTACATTATTTGATGTGAAATTAAGTTTTACAATGTTATATTGCATTCATATATAATCTTGGTGTGTATTAGTTATTTGTCATGTATAATATGAAAAATGTAATATAATTATATTATATTGACTATTACGGTACTGTGTTGTATCATTACTTACTTAGTACTTCCATGAAATCATTTTCAATATTACATATTGATACTGATATCTCAATAATGATTCTGATATACAAATGGCGCTAATTAATATGAACAAACGATAAATTATTACAAGTTAACAAGTTATAGAACTAAATAATAGTTAAAAGCCGAGTTAAGTTTGACACTATCAGTTGGGTCTGATACACTAGGGTCAGAGACACAGAAACGCATCATTGACCAGTGACAGCAACTGGGGCCTGGACCAGTTTCACCATATTCGATGTCTGCATCTTGCTAATGTAGTCACAAATCCTCTTCACCAACGAGGAAGAGGCTTCGGCAAATCCGTCTTGCTGTACACAAATAATGTAGTACCGGGAACGCCGTTGTGGAAGTCCGTAGTTGGACGCTTTCATTCGGACGGCTTGAGACTGGTAGCCCAACTTCGCCAAACTTTCCAGCACCGCGGTCAAATTGGACCTGGCCCTTAGTTGCAACCCAGCCAGGCAAGAAAGAGAATAAAACCATCACCTGGACCTGAAGGCTGAAGGCCTGAAGGCAAAGGATAACTGAAGGCGAAGGGTTATGTTGATGTTGTTTTGTTGAAGGAGGAACAATGGGTAATGGGAGACTCATTGTAGGTAACTTTACTCCTGCTTTCCAAGCTCTAAATTGAAAAGATGAGGTGCTCTTGGTCATCGTCCACCTCACCAGTTGGAGTGTCAATAGAGTCGACGTTCTCCAGTATCGCGATATGGGGCCGAGATTCCTCCAATATATGGCCTACACCTTTGAACGTGCTAGTCGACGAACAGTCCTCAGTTGAGAAGCAGCCCGCTATTGTGTCAATTGCGCCTCATAGATTTAATGCCAATGTATCGTTGATCCATATTCACCCACGATTAGTTGTGGGTAAATTACAATATTCCGATATCTGTTACAAATATTGTAATGTATGATTGTATGCTGAATATGGTTACAAATTATAACCAAGGAGCGGTGTCTTCAAACATATATCAACAAAACATATTTATTAAACCTTTTTTTGGTTGCGATGCTGCCCTTCTGTCCAACAGGATGAAGGAAGTGGGAGGTGTGGATTGATTCGGTCAAAATAAATTAAGTGATCATAAGTTATGAGTCACCAGGCTCGAAACGCGGACATGATATCATACATGGTTCAGAGACCAAGCATCCTTTCCGTCGTCGAAGGCTGATTTCAACTCGCTGAAGTGCGGGTTCATTTTTGAACAAGACCTTGTCAAAGACACACTGTAGGCAAGCAAAACCACAACGGAAAACGATCCTGCTGTGGAACAAAGAACAAATGACTTGAACCTACAGCAAGCCCCGCTACAAGTTTTGCACGTGCAGCAAACAAATTTAAGGCAATGAAGGATTTCACAATATCTTACTGTAACCTCAGCCTCAGCCTCAATCTGTCTCTGAGTCTAAACTAAAGTCCTAGTCAGTCCTCGTACTTTTCCCAGTTTTCTTTTTATGACCACTGACGTCTGGTTCCTGATGCGATGTGATATCATATCATATATCCATTTCTAGACTAGACAGGACAAGCTGCTTGCAACTGAAGCCTGCTGCAAATATGGACAGCTCAGAAGAATCACCACGTTTTCCGGAAAGCGAAGTTGGCCGAGGCAAAGCCTTGGAGTCTAGAGTCTGGAACCTATGCAATCTTTAGTTTACTGTCACAGTTACAGTTACAGTCACAGTTACAGTCCAATGGAATTACACGGCAACATGACGCCATTAGTATCGGTATCAACTATCAACTGTAAATTGTACTTGTAACTTGTAACTGAAACTTTCCTGAAAAAGCAACGCTGACCAACCGAATCAATTGTTGGGCTGTGATGACTTGTGACTTGTGACCATGACTCATGACCTAAGTTGCTGACACAGTTTGTCTGATGTGTCAAGCACTTTCTCTCCTTGTCCACGTTGAGTTTCGTGATGTCCTCGTATAGGCAAACATCATCTGCTTCCTGACAAGTCAAACAGTTGAGTTCAGCCTTGACAATCAAAAGAGTCAAACTCGAAGAGCTACAGTCCAACAGCTATGCTACGTGCCATCATGTGCCATCCAGCGTGTCTGTGCGATCATGTTCAAACCCCAGAGCCAACTCAGTTGTCAATGTCACAGGGTCACAGTACTGAAATAAGACCTTGCGTGATCAAGATCGAGTGAACATGCCTCCTGCGCGTGACATCCAATGATGTGCCGACGCAGAAACTCCTGCTTGTTCTGCACGATCTCACACATGAATTTGGTCTGCACCTGCCAGCCATGCAGATCATTCAGAGTGACCACCATGCATCTAGCCACTAGTCACATTATAATAGGTATATATCACTGCCGCCACTGCCACAGTCAGAGTCCATAATCATGAATCATAATCGAATCATAATCATGATTTAATCAAATCTATGAATTACTATGAATCATAGATAATAGATCGTCTAAGTCTGAGTCCACGTCGTCTATGTCAATTTCATGTCCCAAAAATGTCTCAACACTAAGTTGTACCTGGAACTTGGGAGCACTCTTGGACACATAGTTTGCGTTCATGTAGTTCGCAACGCTCTCGGCCACAAGCTCAAAAACCCCGGAGCCGGTACAAGCCGACATCAGACTGATGCTCCTGGGAAGTGAATCAAACGTAGTGGCCAAGGACTCTTTGCCAATGGCAGCTTCCAGTTGATTGAATAGGTCCTTGTCCCGACGCATGGCATGACCAACATGATGACAGAATGAACACAAAAAAAACAATCAACCCTGCCAATTGGAAATTTTAATCTAGAATCCAGAATCTAGGCCTGACCAGCAGAACACAGCCACCGATACCAATGATACGATACCAAGCATCAGACGCGAAGGTATCCATGAATGCTTCGGCTGATGTCTCGGTCTCGGCCTCGACTTCATCTTTGACACTTACCTCCTGCTTCCCATTCGCACCCTTGTCATCGACATTGACCTCTTGCTTCACCTCCTGTTTCACATTGGCTTGTACTTCAGGTAGGGTATCTGGATCTGCTGCAGCAGGAGCATGATCAGCTTGTGCAGTTCGGAGTAAGAACAAAATGAACTCCTCCAATTCTTCCAAGGGATCGCCTTCACCAAAGGCAACCTCCATCTCTTCTATTTCTGCCGCGTCAGCATCTATCCCATGGATATCGGCATGAAAGGCAGTCAGCAAGGAGTGGACCTGAGCTTGTGCTGTCAACACAGTAATCTCTTGCGTAGTCAGCTGCTTCAAGACTTCCTGGGTGTACCAGGCAGCAGGCTGGTCTGGGTTCTTGTCATTGCGGTGCCCTTCTGCAATGAAATCAACCATGCGAATGAAATCAACCATGCGAGCAAGGGATATGTCATCCCCCCTGGGAAAAGTGAGTTCCAATTTGTCGGATTCGCTCGATTCTTTTTGACCTTCATCTGACTGAAGTGCATCTGATAAACCAGTAAGCCACATAGTCTCATCAGCTTCTGTAAGTCCTGAGCAACTTACTGCATTGCATTACCGTCAGTCATCATTCTGTGAAACCTCACTAGTTGAGTCCTGCACAACGTACGAGTCAAGCCAAGTGTACAGTTCACAGCCTACAGGCCTACAGGATGGAACTTGCAACTTCCAAATGACAATGACATCTAGTTAAATGAGTTAAATCTAAAATGTTGTAGGCGGAGGCGGAGGTATGGTGAAGTCATGTAAATCAAAGCTGTCTCTGATACCCCATGTCTACATGAAACGCCTCACAAAATCAGCACAAGACTCCACCGTCTCCACCCTGGTCAGATGAAAGCGCTGGAGCTGGAAGTGGAAGAGGCTGCTCACCCTGCGTCTCAGCAGGCTCCGATTTCACATATCGACCCCAGAACTGCTTGTTCATCGCCTTCTCTTCATCAGTGGCCTCTGGTAACGGTGGGTTCGCCTTAGAACTCTTGCGGCGCTGTCTCTTTGCCGGTGGGTCTTCGATCACATCAGTTTCAATGTGCTTGGTGGCCTTGGATTTCGCTCTCTTCGTTGTGGCCACCGGCGAAGCCTTTGCCTTACTACAGGACTTGGCTTTGGCGGTGGGGGTGGCGGTCATTTTTTTTGGCGGCATGGCCACGCCCCACTCTGAAAAGCGAGCAGAGAAAGGCAGTCTCTTTCTGGCATTCGGCATACCGTCACGGCAAGCCTCTAATATATAATATATAAATAAATTTAAATATAATATGATGATATGATTCGATGTATAAATTAAAGAATACTTGGCTTGATGACTTGATGCATCAGAATCACAATCTTGAATCCAGATGCCTCTTCAGCATGAGATTGCGTAGCAGGTTCACAGAAATTGTCAAACCAAATGGTGGTCAATTTGAAATTCATCAAGCACGCTGACTGCAAATGTTGGCATGTTTTTTCAAATCTTTTTGCTGTTCATCTCTATCTTGTCTTTGTTCTATGGTACTCATGTCTCGACTCACCTATCTATCTAACATGCAGATCATATTCGGGCAAAGGCTGTGATGCAAATCACAGCCAACAGGAACAAAGCCCTCTTTCTGTGCATGTCATGCAGTGGCTGTTACACTGCTGAATTAAGTTTGATGGATTGGATTGGATTGGTAAATTCGGAATCGAATTCATGGAACTAATCAGTTCCGACTCCACCAGTCACCAATCTTTGGCACACCCGAACTGGTCTTGCATCAGTCAAGGTGTAAACCCCAGATCACCCCAGGTACATGACGCAGACACTGTTTCACTTTCACTTGGACTTCGCCTCATCTGCATTGCCCATGAGCTTGGTGCACAAAGCTTGCAATCCAGCAGGGATCTCCAAGGTAAATTGTTTCGCAACGGCCATTGTCTCAGCAAACTGATCCCGAACTTTCTTCTGCAACGCGCCATGCTGCGTAGCAGCTCGCTTCACTGCCTTTGTTCGAAGCAAAGTGAGTAGGCTGGCCGTTGACCTCAAAAGCTGGAACCGCTGTCAACCCCAACCCAGCTGCCAAATAGAACCAATCATTGCATTGCATCATCATACATGAATCAAAAGATGTTTTTACGGGTACACAAAATTACATAAAACGGAAAGTCCCGACATACATCATACACTTTGATATGATACAGATACAAGGAAATAATACTAATACATAATTTACATAATACAACATTAACGTTGCTAAGCTTGTCTGGGCCGCAGATATGTCAAGAAATCACGTCGAAGAGCAACACACTTGCCAAATTGGTCAAAGATCTCCTCATCCTTCACAATTCCGCTTGCAGTCTTGACTTGGCTGACACAGTCCTCAATCTTCTCCAGCTGACAAGCACCCTCAAGCACTGCCTTCGTACGGTGATCTGCAAAAGTCATCTCCATGCACTCAGTCATTTCCTCTGTCTGGATAGCCTGCATGTCAGCGATATTGACAATTACATCTGGGAGGCTGCAGTCGATTCCTCCGCTGGTCACAACTTCAAAAGCCTTGCCCAACTTCTCCCCAATAAGGCTGATCTCGTCTTGTACCAGGGAAACCTTGCTGTCCAAATATGACGTCAAGTCGGCTTCCATCTTCTCAAAGTCCAGATCCTTCAACTCTTCCATCCGAGATAATTTTGACTTGGTCATAGTCAACATGCTTGCAAAAGACGATATGACAGCATTCCTGTTGTCACCAGAGAATGCCGTCATGGCTGCAGACATGGCATTCAAGACGGTTTCGGGGTCCCGGATGAACAAGGACTGGTCGTCATCTGCTGATGGTTTCGCAACCTTGCCGAGAGCAACACCAACAGTGACCACATTGTCAAGCATTGCAAGACCTTGACGAATGGATTTCCCATTCTCACCCATCACACTGGTCATACGTCGGCATTGGTCCAAGTCTGTATGGAATTTCTCAAAGTCCAGCCCCTCTTGGCTTTCATTTGCTATGAAATTGCTTGCGAAGATCAAACAATCTTTCAAGTGAGCAAATGCTGTCTGATGGACGTTGGACCCAAAATATTCACTCAATGCACCGGAACAGGATCTGATGGCAGGGTCCAATGTCTGGAACTCTTCAGTATCCTCCATGAACAATTTGAGCAGTGACTTGCTGAGATCAAACCACTTCTGCAATGACGTTTGAGACTCTTCAGCCGTGAACGATCCTGATGTAGCAAAACTGTGGGCCAACTTCTGCATAGCATTGCATGCCTCGATCAAACTTTTGACCACGGTGACATGCACGGTGTTTTGGACTTGAAGAATGCATGCGCTCTCTCCAAGCAGCGCAGCATTTTGAACTTGAACAAAATTGGCCCCGCTTTCAACCTCCCGTTTCATCATGTCCAGGAATGGCACGACTTCATTCTTCACCGTCAAGCGAACCACGTCCAAGACGCCCTTCTCCGCGGCTACCTGAAGATTGGTCACCTTGGTCTTGTCCCCGCCTTTCAGCTGCTTAACCTCTTTTCCAGTTGCCACAGAATGAGCTTTCGCAATCCTTGGTACCAAACAGTGCGCTAAGCATGATGCTCCAGAGTCTAGAGCCGAGAGACTGATCAAATTATACAATTTTCATATTTATATATAAGCATGATTATATATATATTGTATAAAAACTATTCTATAAAGATATAAAAACAAAAAATATATTATATATATAATATATATTGTAAATATTCAAAAAGTAAATATAAATAATATGATAGGATCAGCGATGGTTCATTGTAAGTGGCTGGTGGCTAGGTGGTGTCGTAAGCCCCCCAAAAAAAAAACACAACACAAAGAACTAGCCAAGTTTCCTCTTGCCAAACTCAGCGTCACACTTGCCATCCGTCTCAACAGCGTTGCTAATCTCCGTCAGGTCAGTCGCGGCTTTGTCAACAGAAACCAAGACCGCATTCTGTGTGGAACGTCGCTCTGCGTGATCACAAGCAGCCTTCAAGACTTTTTGCCCATTCTCTAGGTTGAAGGCCGCTGCAAGCCAATCTGTTGACTGCACAATGGCTTGACTAGCTTCTGTCACCTTTTCTGGTGGCGATGTGGTGTCAAGCACAAGACGAACGGAATCAACAATGTGGTACTGCTCATGTGTCTCAGGAGTGGACTTGGACAGCTCTGCAATGAATGATGTGATGAACTGTGTGTTCACCTGGCCTCCCTTGCCAGTGACAGCTGATTTGAGCAACCGTTGCACAATCTGGCTAGCAAGCAGGTCAAAGAACTTGTTGGCGCCATCACCCAAATGAAGATCACAAGCCTTTCTGGTATCACTGAAGAAGCCAGTAAACTTTGCAGTTTTCAGGTCCTGACATTCGACAGCGGCAGTCAGCTCCCCACCAAAAACAAAAACATAGTTCAGCATTGTGTAACTCTGAAATTCTCACCTAGTAGTCTTAGCCTATAGTTGATAAACTATATTTAATTTATTTGTATTATCTTATATATCTCATATATTTTTGAAAAATATATTCAGATAAACATATGTGATAGCATGTTTAACTTATTGTCATGTCACATGTCACATTGACACTTGCTAGGTACAAAGTAGATATGATATGATGTGATATGAAACGACAGGAGATTATATAGTGTGCTGTGACAGGTATAGTATATACATGGTAAGATTAATGGCAAAAAACTTTGTGCAATGTGATTGTGACTGCATGTATCCCAGTCCTCCAAAGCCATTGCGCGAATGCACCGTTCCCACGTCGCAGTACTTGGGTCATAGGCACTATCTTTGTCAAAGCCGTCGACCAGGTCATCGTAAAGCTTTCTCCCCTCAGTGGTAACGTTCTGAAGACGCTTGACAAAGCCAAGTACGTCATTGAGACGTTTGATGATTTCATCCAACGAGTTGACAATGCTGGAACTATCACCTTTGCGGCGACCCAATGACTTTTTTTTGGTGTTGATTCCGCCTTTGAGTTCATTCAGCTTCGCTGTGCGGTCTTTGAACCAAGGGGTGAATGTCTGGTCATCCGATTTGCTAACATCAAGCTTCATCAGATCCTTCGTTTGAGCGACATATGAGCTCAAAAGAGCAGCATCCTCTGAAGCAAAATCGCCTTTGGGCTCAACCTCAAGCAAGTCATCCAATTCACCCGGTGCATTTCCATTTCCACCATCAGCTTCTCCCGACCGGTTTCGAGTGGATTTACCTTTGGCCTTTGCCTTTGCTTTTGGGTTGGGAACACCAGCCGTGACAGCACTAGTGGGGACATTGCCAACAGCTGTTTTGGGACGCTTTGCTGGCCCATCACTGCTCACGGCTGCACGTTTTTTGTCACCTTTCGCCAGCCTGCTAAACAAACCAGCTAAGGGCTGTGGGTCTAACACAGCACATTCATCATCCTCATCATCAGAACTCATCTCGTCTCCCTCCATCTGTTGATCAGCAGTGTCAAGTGCATCAGCTGCCGACAGGCGTGCCCCTGATGATGATGACGATGTGCCATGCAAGGTCACGGCTTTGTCCGAGTCATGAGTAAACTTCGAGGCTTGAATGGTCTTCAAAGCACCGGAATGAATTTCATCATTCTGAGTAGCAGACAGGACAACATCGGAACTGAGCTGTGTGTACCTCTTGACGGCTGTGCTCTCTTCATTGATGTACTGATAGACACCCTCGTCCTGAACAGTCACGAGTTACAAAAGTGGCAATTAATGCTCTTCAAAATCACTCAACACATGGCTAAACTGCACAGAACAACTGCACACACCCATCCCATCACGAAAGGCTTACTAAAAAGAGACAACAAGGAACCTCGGGCAAGACATAATCTACGCCAGTGACAGATCGTCCGTCGATGGTTTGGGTCTTCAGGCTCTCAGGTTTGGGTGTGCCATAGCGCTTCTCAAAACTCTTCAATTCCATCCAATGCACCTTTGGTGCTTTCAAGCCTACCCTCTTTTCTTCTGAGATACCAACCATCTCGGTAATGGGATTGTTCTTGACTGTTACACGGCTCTTCGGATCCTTCAATTTCATGTCGAGAAGGGCTTGCCGATGCTGAAGGAATACATGGTTGCGTTCTGGATTCCCATCTAGTTCTTTGTCCACGGCTGCAATGTTGCCGTGCTTGTTGAGCCATGGGCCAAGCTCCGCTGTCTGACAGGGGGAGATGGCAGGGGTTCCATGGATGCCCTCATAAACATAATGTTGATCAGTTGATCCACCAATGTGCCTTACAATGTGCATATGTTCTGGGACCATGTGCCCTCATGTACCGTTCCCATGTAGTATTGTACCCATGTACCCCATGTACCATCCGCATGTACCCCAGGCACCGTACCCATGTACCACACGTACCGTACCCATGTACCCCATGTACCGTACCCATGTACCCCATGTACCGTACCCATGTACCCAATGTACCGTACCCATGTACCCAATGTACCGTACCCATGTACCCAGTGTACCGTACCCATGTACCCAATGTACCGTACCCATGTACCAGGCACATGTACCCAAAAACGGTAACCCGCTATAGCGGGTTAGTAACCCGCTATAGCGGGTTACCGATTTATATACAATTATATTTAATATATGTTATGTAGTAAAAAATGACAAAAATCTTGGTACGATTTCAGGGTACGGTACATTGGGTACATGGGTACGGTACATTGGGTACATGGGTACGGTACATTGGGTACATGGGTACGGTACATTGGGTACATGGGTACGGTACATGGGGTACATGGGTACGGTACATGGGGTACATGGGTACGGTACATGGGGTACACGGGTACGGTACGTGTGGTACATGGGTACGGTACATGTGGTACATGGGTACATGGGGTACGGGTACGGCTACATGGGTACGGCACATGGGTATCGTACATGGGGCTCATGGCTTTAGTACATCGGCACAGGAGCTGTCTTTTTGGGTCTGGGCCGGGGTGCATTAGCAATTACAATTAAGGTCAAGCATTGAATTGTTTGAACAAAGAATATGATCTAGGGTGACGGTGATTCAACCCAGTTGCACCCAGCCTTGCGGCAAAGGAGACAATGATTTCCAGTTGGCTGTGCCTGAGATCCATGTTCCCAAGCGATTACAAGACCCCACGCTGCTTCAGGAGAATCTTTTTGATCATATTCAGCAGGACTGGTAGACCATACGCCGCACCGCTTGCAACGCTTGTGCTTAGCATTGGCTGGGTACTCGACCCCTGCTGGTGGCGGTGGAGCCTCACCACTAGCACGAACGCTTGATGCCGCCGTGCTTTTCGTTTTTTTCATGACCTTTGGACAAGGAACGGATATGGCTGGGACCATGTCTGTCCAAAACAGTCACCTCGTGCAAATTGCAAAGTGGGGATAGTGGGTGAAGAGTGCTTGGGAAAACACTCTAACAAAGGCTTGAGCCTCCGCCTCACTGTATCATGAGCAGAATCGATTGTGCCAAACTCAAACATCATCTTTGCAATGTGACAATGTGATTTATGGACTGAGTCCGGCTGAGTGACTGAGCGATTGGGGCACTATAAGGCAACGAACTCTCACATTTTTTCCCCCCACTTGAAATCAGATTGGCATCTGAGAATACCGCCCGCTAGCAGCGGACAAAGGATTTGAACCTGAAGCAGAATGCAAGCTGCAAGATTGAACTTGGCTGCGGCTACAACTCTACAACTGTTTCACACAGCGAGCGTGTTGATAGTCCAAAAGTAATAATGTATCTGTCTGTATCAGTAATGTCAATGAAATGATTCAAGTTTTCTAGGGTCAAGGGACTGTTCTTTGTGACGTTTGGCATCAGAACGATCTGGGATCCGTGTACCCGCTAGCAGCCACTGGAGCATGGCTGGTTCGGCATCAGCTGTAAGCTTCTTTGCACTGACCATCATCTGGCACTGGGAATGGGAGCCTGGTTGGAATATGAAATTGTTCTTGCCGTCCGACTGTCCAACATAAAAGAACGGCATGGCATCAACGATGAAGTGTTTTGCTGCGTGCGAAACAGAAACGTGTGATGTCCAGGAACTAACAGTCTATTACCTGATCTGTTTCTGAACACAGAACAGGTTGCGAGGAAACAAGAAACAGTAAGATCCAGACTGCACTTGATTGAGACCGCGTGAGTTGGCTGTCCAACCCGTAGCTCCGTTATCCGGCCTAAAATGCAGTTTGCATTAACGACTACAAGCCGACATCCTTTGCTCAGTGCGAGCTGAGTAAAGTTTGATAGTCTAGTTGTAACCCAGTGCAACTGTGTAACTGTGTCACTAACGGTGCGGTGCAAGTGTTTCTCAGCACCAGACCCAACGGAAAAGCTTTTCCACTGCTGGCGTTGAACATCCAGCAATAGTTGTTGGCATCCCTCCATGGTAGAGTACGACTCACTATCTCAATACCACCTGCCTTGGAACCTACAGTCTCTGTGGTCTTTGTACCTGTCATGCTTTTTGGCTGCTGTGAATGCTCTGACTTTTTCTCCGTTTTGATGGGCCCTGCACGAGAACTGAACGCATGGTCCCACTCGACAACAATGGAATCATGCATTTCACCTGCGTGACCTGGTTCGTCATCAGCTGTTGGATTCACACCTGTTGCTGTTGCGCCCTTGGATTTGGCAGGGGCTGGTGCTTTTTTCTTGGTTGGTTTCTCCCCCTGGTGGCTTGGTGCTGTCTTTCGTTTTGAACCAGTTGTCCCGGTCCCGTTCACGGCTTTCCTCAGCATGGCCAATCTTTTTCGTGTTGTCATACAACTTGTGTAGTTGTCATCATTTTCACTACCGCTGTCTGAACCATTCTCTCCTGTAGACCTTTTCACATCAACATCAGAAGGTGCACAAGCAGGCCCCAACTCAATCTCTCGCAAGGAAACCGCAGAGTAAGAAGCAGTTTTCACATCCAAAACCGCATCACCCCTGGCAATCTCGAGGAGTAATGGTTTGAGCTCAATAAGCAGCATAGTCCCATCTTCTGAAAAGCAAATTTCTGCCCGCCCTTCTTCATTGGCTGTTGTGAACTGCAAAGCTGTACCGTCAAAAGGACTGAAAGAAACCCTTGTCAGCAGGTATACACTCCGAAGACAATCCACATTGGCACCAACATCACGTTCAAAGAAAAGAAGGGGAATATGGTGTGGTACATGACCATCTTTTCGCCTTGTCTCTCTAGCAATGCGAAGGACAGAGACCACATCAGCAAACAATCGCTGGTATTCATCGGCAATCACCGGAGTCAGCTGTTGCTTGCAAAAACCAGGGCCATACAAAGATTGACAGCAACCATCAAACTCTGTGTCATTGAGATCCAAACTGGTCTTGTAATTCACAAAAGCGCTGTACTTGTCTTTGAACTGTTTGTGCGCTTGGTCCAACCAATTGCCATGGCACTCTTTTCTTTTCTGTTCCAGCAGTTTTTCAGAAATTGCAAAATGTTCATCACCAAACATTGAGAGACTTTCGTTGAACTCAACCATTTGGTCTTCGGGCAAAACATTGTCTTCTTCTCTAGGGTCGACGATCTGAGAAAGCGGCTGCGAGTTTTTGTTGGTCCACTCCGCTAGCCTTCCCATCTCCTGAAACAAATGGATTGGTTCCACTTCCACCATACTAAATGAAACTATACTAGTCCGGTCCTCGGGGTGAATGGGGCGAATGGGGTGAATGGAGGTTTAAATTTCTTTGTCAGCTGCATCTCTGTTATGTTATATTTAACTAAATTATACTGTAGCAAAAATTACTTTACTTCGTGTGATCCCCACCATGACATTTATCGAATTGTTACTGGCAAATCTTCTGGCATTCTATCTGACATATCTTCTGGCATTCGATCTGGCATTCTATCTGGCATATCTTCTGGCATTCTACCTGGCATATCTTCTGGCATATGTTCTGGCATTCTACGTGGCATTCTATCTGGCATATCTTCTGGCACATCTTCTGCCATCCTATCTGGCAAATCTTCTGGCATTCTATCTGGCAAACATTCTGGCATACCTTCTGGCATTCTATCTGACATTCTATCTGGCATACCTTCTGGCATTCTATCTGGCATATTTTCTGGCATATGTTCTGGCATATCTTGTGGCATTCTATCTGGCATTCTATCTGGCATATCTTCTGGCATATCTTCTGACATCCTATCTGGCAAATCTTCTGGCATTCTATTTGGCAAACATTCTGGCGCTTTATCTGGCATACCATCTGGCATTCTATCTGGCAAATCTTCTGGCATTCTATCTGGCATATCTTCTGGCATTCTATCTGGCATATCTTCTGGCATTCTATCTGACATGCTATCTGGCGTTCTATGTGGCGTATCTTCTGGCATTCTATCTGGCCGTTGAGGTCCAGCGGTGCACACTGAGCTGGGAAGGTCCCAGGTTGAGGTCCAGCGGTGCACACTGAGCTCGGAAGGTCCCAGGTTGAGGTCCAGCGGTGCACACTGGGCTGGGCAGGTCCCATGTTGAGGTCCAGCGGTGCGCACTGAGCTGGGAAGTTGGCAAAGAGCTTGGCGAAGAGTTGGAGGTGGAAGTTGATGTGGAAGTTGATGCAGACATGGTCGAGGCGAAACAGGCGGAGGAGAAGGAGGAGGAAGAGGAGGAGGAGGAAGAGGCGGAGGAGGAGAAGGAGGAGAAGAGGTAGCCGAGGAGGAGAAGAACAACTCTGATAAAATCTAACAACCCTCACCTGGCAGGTGCGGAAAAAACTCTATTGTATTCAATACTACATAAATAAATCGCACTATATTGTACCAAGGAAACATATAAGATATATATTATTAGGTTTTATTATAAGATACTAGACTAAATATCGTGATAATATACTATTTTTGTTTTTTACTGTATATTATTGTACTATAATTTCGTATCCTATATTATTGTACTTGTACTATATTTAAAAAATGTTGCATTATTATCTTAAATTATGCTACTCTATATTTTGCTGACATTAATTTTACTTTGCATTTATTGAAATTTAATTTTCTTTTTTTGTTTGTACACTATCTTAAATTATACTTTCTCATATTATAATGGTTTATGTTGTAACATTTGACATTTTGCAATCTTATTGTGTTGAATTGCATACGGTATTTTTATTGCATTTATTTTGTTACCTGGGAATTTAATTTATTACGGTATATTGCAGTTTGTTAGGTTCTACTAAACTGAGCTGCTGTTTGTGCAAACGCATTATATTATATTATATAACTATATAATTTAACACTACTACCACTACTACCACTGCTACCACTACTACCACTACTACTACTACTACTGCTGCTACTACTACTACTACTATTACTATCTATTACTACTACTACTACTACTACTACTACTGATACTGAATAAACATATATTAACCAATCAATACTATTGGGTATTGTATTTTGTAAAAAAGGTACGCATACTACATTATGCGAATTGGATGTGCTTGTTTCACAAAACCAGTTGAGTTGAACCTTGAACAAGTGACAACAGAAACTGTTCGCTTCAAGTGGCATTCAGGTTTGTTTCAACAAACAGTCCTGGCTATCACATGCAACTTGAGCCTGCCACTGAGCACTGGCCATCTGCCACGTCCGAATTCTGCAAGCATTGGGAGTTTCGCCAGGCATAGCGACCTAATTAATGACAGGCAAACACAATTCACAAACACTTGGGTCCCTCTTACTTCCTATCTTTCCTAGTCACTCGCGCTTACTTCCTTCCTTCCTTACTTCTTCCTTCCTTCCCTTCTTACTTGTTTAGTGCCCACCTACTTACCTGCTCATATATCTACCTCTTTGTTAAAGAGTATTCACTGTACATTAGTCAGAGTCATTAGTCCATATATTTTGGAAACTGAACTTCAGAAATCTAAACAGTCCGTATTCCAGATGGCTTCAGGCTGCATTGATCTTTTCACGTATCTGAGATAGAGGCCCGTGAATCCATCTGCGATTTCAAGAAGAGAGTCCAGCCATTGTACGCAGTTTTCCCTTTGTCATCACCTGAAACTGTTTGTCCGTATTGGGGACACTGCAAGCCGACTCACGCTGACTAGATTATGTTTTTTTTTTCAGCTCGCTTCATCAAGACTGACATCAAGCAAGCCTGCTTGCTTCGCTGCCGCCTGCTTCTTCTGACACAATTTAAGTTGGAACTGCTGGTGTTCCTTTTGGATCTCCGACAGGATGTATTTTGAAACCTGGCCAAGGGCATAATCACCCCGCATCACTACAAAACCACTGATGAGGCAACACAACATGTTGAGTTATATGACATGTGATATATTTATGTTGAGTTATGATAAGTATTATTATATCATTTTTCAAAACAAACGTGCATTATTTATACAATATTTCCTGTCTATAAGTTGATAAGGTCCATGTTGGAAAATATAGCTTTGACCAGCTGGAAATTTGCCAAATCCTGTGCGATCTTGAGACAGTGACTCTGCGACTATTAACAGACAAGCTTGATGAATTTGAGGACGGCACCATCGTTTCCACCGCATGAGTTCGGCCACGAGTCACCCTTGGAATGACTCAAACTCATGACTCTTTACCCCGGCCCCCCTGACCCGCTCAAGTGACTTGAGGGCCAAGCAGTCGTTGCGAGACAGCACGCGCGAAATTGCATTCAATTTCGCTGTTGGTAAGTTTCCTCTTGGAAAGTAAACGGACCTTACAGCAAGCTTGCATTCAAAGCAAAAAGAAGAATGAAGAGCCAAAAACAACAACCCCCTAATGACTGGCCAAACTGAGTGAAACGCAATCCGGCGCATTTGCCCATGAGACGAAGCCAAATCTTCTGCACCAAGTTGTCTGGCCTCCCCAATTTCATGGTTCACTCAGCCTGATCATCCCTTGTGGCGTGGCTTTGTGTGGCATAACAGTACAGCATAATAATTAGCACTTCGAAGTTGAAATGGGAAACCAAATGAATGCCGTGCCTCCATGTACTTCCGCAAACGCTGGGAGAACACATCAAGGCAGCAGAGTGGCAACTGGCAAAACTCAGTTGCAATTTGAGGTCCTGCTTCCTCATTCTCGAGGATACCCGATAGCCGCTGAGGGAACGCCTTTGACAGCACAACACTCATGGGATCGGATGAAATTGAAACTGGCAAATCATGTCATAATTTGTTGTGCCTTTTTTCCATGACACTTGGAGCAATCAATGACTGACACTAACCGCCTTGAACGAACGTGTCAGCCGCCGGTGGGTGTGGGCAACAATTGACAATAGCACAAACTGTGCCCTGTGAAGGGCTGCGGAATCAAAGCCTCCCGGAAGTCACTAGCAATAAAAAAAAGTGAATGTGATGTCGAGAAGGCAAGCGTCAAGAGTCTAAGACCGGTTCCCGCCTTTCATTTGAATCGGCAGGCGCCCGAAAGCCAAGGCACTGTATGCCCTGACAGCCTTCTCTGCTGGTGACCTAAGTGGCCAAAAGCATCAAGCTTGACAGCCACCCATTGATATCAAATCAATCAACAGTGAAAGTTCCATTGACCAATCGCTTATTTATATCTATTTTTTAAATCTAGTATGAAATCATATATAAATAAGAAATTAGATATGGGATATATGATGAATATCTCTTGTATCATCCAATATCATTGTCATCACCACAACCGTATCAAACTGAATGATACCAAGCCAACACTTCGGATTCATATGATATGTGATATATGGACTCACGGTCTTTGTTTGATATATGGCATGTATGATAAGAATCTACATCATGGCTAGGGCTAGGTCATCGAAGTTTTCAAATCACTCCAACAGCCGATGGCATTCAAACTCCAGGTGCCCTCTGGCCCTCTGGGCAAGGTGCTGGCTTTCAGATGCAAAGACCACTGCTGGCAACGCTGGGTCGTTCCCTTCCAGCAACCATGATCTGTCTCTCTGGTCCTTGAAAAGAGCCCGCCTAGGTGACTACCGGACCAAACTGACACAAATAGAAACAGGCGCACACCAGTCCAAATCAACTTGAAACAGTCCCTGAGTACTGCACATAACCCTTTCAATGCCGGGGAGGAAAGTAGCGGCAATGATGAGGTTGGGAAGGGTTGAGCTTCGTTCCAAGAACAAACTTGATTTTTTTGCTCTCACTCTGATTTCTTTGCGATAATCGTCTGTGTCTTCTGGAATTCCCAAGCCGCACAGATCTGCAACGGAACCTGATGGTGAAAGCTTGTCCTGGCATGTCTCACTCAATAGAAATCAGACAACTAAAGTCACCAGGACAGCACCACGGCGAATGTCAGTACGACAGGTGACAAATCCGAACTCACAAAGTGATTCCAGAATTGGCGTTCTTATTCTTACTTACTTGTGCCCTGCTTTCCAGTTCCAGCATTGACACTAACTCAACTCAACGAACATGCCGGGCAATCATTGCCATGCAAGGACGACCTCGGCCAGGGACTTCTGCTCATACGTTTTTTCTAATAAATTATGACGAGGTAGTTGGTTCTGATCACTCATAAAAAAAGGCAAACTGCAAGTGATACAGTGGTACTGCTAACTTAGATGGAACGGAACGAACATAAGATCAAGATGAGCTTACAGCCTACAACCTATGGCCCATAGCCTATAATATATTTATATTATACATATACTTTAACAAATATATAAATATATGTAATACATGATATAGAAGGAAAATGTGATTGATCTCATCAACTGAAGACTCAAAACATCTACCCCTACTGCTTATCTTGGTTCTGGGTGAGCTGGTATCATTTGAGACTTGTCGCATCACATCTGTCATCCAGCTTGGGCGCGCCACCAAGCTTGAGGCAGCAATTGGTGGAAAGCAACGGCCAGCCTGGGCGCACAAATGTATGTTGGCGCAAGATTTCTAGCTAACTATTACTAGACTAGACTGACTGTAAGTTTCCAGTTACAAGTTTACAAGTTAAAACTACAACCACCACAACAACAACAACAACAGCAACAGCAACAGCAGCAACAACAACAACAACAACAACAACAGCAACCACCACCATGGTCTCTTGTAGTTCTGTGGTAGCGGTGCATTTGACAGTACACTCACTGAGGATCGCACAAGTAGAACCTGATGCAATCCCCTACAGCAGTCCAATGGGAGAGCACTGGAATTTCCGGTCGCGAACGAAACCTCAGAGCGGATCTAAAGATGTCAACTAGACGTAGATTGCCAGGCAGATGTCGGCCAACCCCAAATTGCAAATTGTAGAGTTCAAAGGCTGTTGCAACTTTTGAAATCCAATGGACTAAAGCTGTCAACCTGATGTCAGGCACCTTTTCCTGGTACAAAATCAGTCGTTGGAACAGAATGGCACACCTTTGGCTAAGAGGCTGGCACAACCGCCATGATAGCCAACCACAGCTTTTCGCCTTGTGCAAAAGAATCGCACCCACAAAGTGAAACGTGCAAGAAGCACCAATAGTCAGATAACCGCACCGGACAACTGACTTTCTACAGTGATCCGCGATCCGGGAAAACCACTGCAAACAACATATTAAAAGATTCAAACAGTCTTTCAGACTTCTGATGATGAATGTTTTTTTTGTCAGGTCACAATGCTGCGGTGTCACAAGAAATTGGAATTTCAGACTTAGGCCTGGGCATGTTTCCTCCCTGCTTCGGCAACATGTGAGTTTGCAATGGTGGACAATGGTCTTTTGTTTCCAGTCCTCAAGGCAATGTTCTCTGTGTGTGTGTATGAAATATTATATGTATGTATGCGTGCATGCATGCATGTATGTAACTGTAAGCATATCTGTTCGTATGTATGTTTGTGTGTTCGTGTGTTTGTGTGTGTGTGTGTGTTTGTTTGTTTGTTTGTTTGTTTGTTAGTTTGTTTGTTTGTTTGTATTATATGTATGTATATGTATGTATATGTATGTATATGTATGTATATGTATGTATATGTATGTATATGTATGTATATGTATGTATATGTATATGTATGTGTATGTATGTATGTATGTATATGTATGTATGTATGTATGTATGTATGTTTGCATGTATGTTTGCATGTATGTATGTATGCATGTATGCATGTATGTATGTTATGTATGCTATGTATGTTATGTTATCTATGTTTTGCCGTTATGTATGTTATGTATGTAATGTATGTAATGTAATGTATGTAATGTAATGTATGTAATGTAATGTATGTAATGTATGTAATGTATGTAATGTATTAATGTATGTATGTATGTATGTATGTATGTATGTATGTATGTGTGTGTATGTGTGTATGTGTGTATGTGTATGTATGTATATGTATGTATATGTATGTATATGTATGTATATGTATGTATATGTATGTATATGTATGTATATGTATGTATATGTATGTATATGTATGAATATGTATGTATATGTATGTATATGTATGTATATGTATGTATATGTATGTATATGTATGTATATGTATGTATATGTATGTATATGTATGTATATGTATGTATATGTCTGTATATGTATGTATATGTATGTATATGTATGTATATGTATGTATATGTATGTATATGTATGTATATGTATGTATATGTATGTGTATGTATGTATGTATGTATGTATGTATGTATGTATGTATGTATGTAATGTATGTATGCATTTATACCTTTATGATATGATATATGGTATGACTCTGTATGAGTGGCTTGTTGGATGGGTGGAAGACCGGCCATATTAAGGGTCCGAATATGGGTGCTTATCCACTCCCTTTCGGCTGTACGTATACATGTAGGTATGCATGTTTATCCAGCCAATTTCGTCAAAATGACTAAAACTACGACTACGACTACAACAATGGACAGCGGTAACACCTCTGGGGCGCAGACCCCATTGGCAAGCGAAAGTAACATTGCCGCCGACTTCAATAGGTCATCCTGATTCTCTTCGTCTGCGCCATCTACCTGTGGACCTTCAACAGTGCTGTATGACTGTGTGTATGGATAATAATTCATATCAGAAGCTAAAACGACGACTAAATGCAGTATAACCAGTACTGAGCGTCGTGCAGTAAAGTTGTATATATCAGTATCGTATCATATCATATCATCACATCATGCTGACTCACTATATTGATGAAATCGTGCATCAAACATCTTACACCATCTCCAATCTTAAGGGTCCAACGTCTCTGGACTACAAGGTTCATAATGCTTTGCGCATACTCTCGGTTTTCTTCACAAGGCCTCACCGTTTACGCATGCCGCATCTACTGGAGAAACAAGCCCCAGCCAACAGGAGTCCAAGTCCATATCATGTCATATACAGTATACCAGTCACCAGTCTAACGTCTACAATCTACAAACAATCACACTGGGGCACTTAGGTATCAGAGCAGAGAATCTATACCTTCTTCTGTTGCTTTTCTGTAGAAGTAGCCAGAAAGATAGGTAAGATTCAGGCTCATCGAAGGATATTTCCAACTTCGACAACAAGACCCGACGCGAGTGAACCAGGATGTCATAGAAGATGCTCCCGTTGGTGAGCAGCGACGACATGCAGAACCTTAAAGGTAGTGGTGGTGTAGTGTAGTGAAAACATTGAGGACAAGTGCAGTGTTTGTACTTCTATTTCTTTTCTTGTATCCCTAACAGCAACCTAGCTACATGTCGGGAAGGTCCTGCAAGGTCTTCAATGCGATTTCGGGTACGTGATTGGTTTCATGCCTTGGCTGCATCTGCTCACTTGGACGAATATCTTAATCTGCCTGAGCCTATGAATCACGTTGCGAAGCTACAAGTCACCACGACACTCTGTACAAATTGAGGGCTGTGCAAAAGGCATCCTTGACGGAAGACCTCAGCCAAGAGGGTTACGTGCTAAGCCGTTCATAGGGCCGACTGATTGACATAAACTGGTAGACTGCAAAAGCACAAGCAGACATGGACAAATTTAGCGTATGTGATGAACCACACTAATGGCCCGAACGAATGACAAGACCTGCTTTCAAAAATTTAGAATGTCAACAAAACAAAACAAAACAATTGCTGAGGCTAAGGAAAAGACAAGTACATTCTCTGGAGTCAGCTTCGCAATGTTGGCAATCATGCAAGAGTTGCTCGGGGCACCATCACACACATAGTTCAGGAGCAAGAGATCACACTGACTGGCCATGCCTTACTGAACACAACCCAGAATCCACAACAGCCCCTCATTCAGGGAAAATGCATCTGCAATATCAATCACATCAATCAATACCACTTCACGCCCCTGCCGCATACCAAGCACCGCACTAAACGGGTCCCAAATTGAGGCATGAGAAATGCCTTCCCATAAGCCTTTCGCAGTCTTGTCTCGCAAAACCACTGGTGGGTTGACAACCTACAAGTGCCGGCTGCAACTAAAGATCTGATGTAATGTGACAATCTTTGCACTGACCTACCTGTTTGTTCAATAGCTAAGACAAGGAGTAGGCATGTTATGACTTGATATGTTTAAAAAATAACTGAAAACCCGGGGCCCCAACAAACATGTGCTTGATTCTCTCACCGCCGCCGGCGCAAAACAGGGTTGAGCGAGTTGCTTTGGAGCGAGAAACTCAAATGTCCAACTGTCCAACCGTCCAACCAGGACAGACACACCCCGATGAAAGTAAACCTTTCAAACTCTGTAACTTCAAGCCGAAGAATCAAAATCGCCACTGTGACTGTGACTGTGTCATTTGTTTTATGTCGGTTTCAGCCAGCGAAATTATTGTGGTTTGTCGCAAACAAGTTTCTCAATGCAACAAGGCACCAGGACTGAAAGGGTTGTGACTGCTCTGAACAAGTTCTGACGAACCTGTAGCTTCTGGCTAGTCTCGTCGAACTCTACATGGAGAGCCAATAGATGCGACCTCTCCTGTGGATAGTCTGGTGCAGCGGGAATGACTTGACATGAAACAATCTTGATAACTGGTGAGAAACGAGAAACATAATTCTGGTGACCTAACCTCCAGTGTCCTGCATCAACTCATTGAACTTGTTCTGTTGGAGTTCCATATAAAGCCACGAGAGCGCATTGCGCGACTGGCAATGTCAACGAACCAACAAGCGGATTAAGCTTGATGATATCGTATCACAAACTACATTAACTACATTACACTTTAAGTGTTATATGTAAAAAAGAGTCGAAAACAAAAATCAGAATCCAGAAACTGAAGAAAATCTGAGTTGAAATGACGCACCTTCATGATCGCATCCGTTCCAGACCCAAGCCAATAGGCTATCGAGTTGAGAGAGAACCTTGTCCGTGACATGTTGACGCCGATGCTAGTGCGGTGACCAGACTTCAAACACATACAGTCACACTCATGTTCGCTTTCCACATACTGTGTAGCATGCCTGAGTGTCAATATCAACACATTGTGTGAAAACGTGCCAAGGAGCATTACCGGTGATTTTGACTTCAGCCTGGGCAACTTTGTTTTGCCCTTGCCCTTTCGACTTTGCATGCCTTCCAGCACAGAGCTGACTGCTCGTCCAAGCCTAGGAAAATCGGTCAGAGCAAGCCAACCTACTATATATACTATAGTCATCATATAACATATAAATTATAAATATGTATTTTCATCATATATATGATGCAAATTGAAAATATTTTACGCCAAATAATGTTTCATTTCACATGGCAGTTTCAATCCATCGGCGTGTCGCAAGCTGACAGTTCTGGTCTATGGTTTCCACAAGAACTGTCATTATCACATTGTAACAACGCATTTCGCTTTGGCATGTTGCTCTTGTAAAAACCATGAAACTATCAGGCTGCATTCATAGAAACATTACTGGGGAGCTGACGACACTCGGAGAATTGCACAGGATGTCCATGCCTTGTACTGGCCTCATGCATGCGGACACGACGGCATGATGGCATGACTGGTCTTGATCATTGGCTGGTTGAATGGCTCAGGGTAAACCTCACCCCAAGCATATCTGATGATGCAAAACAATATCAGTCATTAGTGATTAGCAATCAGTAGTTTGAAACGCGGGCTTATGTATCCTGAATTGGTGTGTCAGTATCAACATCATCACTACTTCTTCGAAGCCATGTGTTCATGGCCATCAATCAAGAAACTGAGCTGGGTCTCCGGCCTTTGCCTTTGACTTTGAGCCCCGCATCATCGTCTAAAGAGATCAGGTCGCCTTTGCGAACGGCAAACTCTCGATTATAGCGGTTGACTTTCGTCCTCGCAAGTTCGACTGGGTTGGAGGAAGCCTTTTTGAAGTGAATCAAGCTGAAGCATATTGTTTTTTTTTTTTACTGACGTTTTTTGTTCAATAGCAGTCAATGAATACTCAATGTCACTGACTTGAACAGCATATAGTAGATGCAACACTTGTGGTAAGTATAAAACGGGTATGATGTGAAATGACATGGTACTGTATGATCTGTGAAAATTGCAAAAATACTACAGATATAAATATACATACATACAGTTATAGTTATATACGTAAAAAGTTGTCTCAGAAATATTACATGTTCCTTTATTGAAACATTACTTAAATGGAGTCCTTCAGACTTTTCATGTACAGAAAAAATGAACAAAGCCAAAACACATGGCTGCAGGCTGCAGGAAAGAGAGTAACCAGCGTTTAGGAAGATTGAAGATTGCTTGGTTTTATGGTCCGACCCACCCCCCGCCCAGTGTTTGCAAACATGGACGTTATCAGTTATCAACAGAAGCCTACAACCACGAAACAATCAGCTCCTCACTTTCAGGAGAAGTCGGTTTACTTTCTGTCGCTCTTTGACCACTCTTTTTCCTGGCCGAAACGGTTCCAGTGGTGGAACTTATATCAGGGAACTGAGACAACCTGACTTGGGAGTGGGGGGTGGGGACATTGTTTTTTCGCAGCCCTTCATAATTTTCTACCATGGATCATTGCCAGTCCTTACCTACGCTTGGATTTATCGGAAGTTAACTTAACGAGAACAAAATTATTTCCAATCATTACCCCAAAAATTATTTATAATGCAACTAAGTGTTCAAACTTTAACAAACCAGCATTCACATATGGTTAATGGATACCAGGTTAGCAAACAACGACTAGGCTGCAACTTCAACTTCAACTTGATTCCAGTATTCAATCCCGGCATTAGTCCTGCCCGGGCGACTGCCATGCGACATGCCACAGACATGGGTGGCCGGTCCACCACTCCACGATCATCGCAATCGGCCAAGTTTCCCCTAATTCTATCACCCAACCTGGCTGCCACCCCGACCAGCATTGTGGCCACTTCGCTTTGGGCCAAGGAACCATCAAAGGCCGAGCGAAATCCAGCAATCACAGCACCTTTCCACAAGTGCCTAATCAGCGTGATGCTTGATGTAATGATTTTTATACTGTACTTCTGATCACCAGTTGAATGATATAGTAAATAGTAGGCCTGGGGGACTAAACTTATTGTTTCTTATTCCGTAGTCTGCAGTGACAAAAACCAACAATGCACCATGCACCCCACATTGTCACATAGTGACTCATAGTTATTATAAGTTATAAACTTTAAATCACAGTCCCAATCCCAATAAAATCACAACCACGCACCTTACCAGGTACCTACATGACTCACATGACCGTACCTATGTACCTTTATCCAACCGTACCCACGCACCAATAGACCGTACCCACGTACCGTACTTATGTACCTACCCAACCGTACCACGTACCTACCCAACCGTACCACGTACCTACCCAACCGTACCACGTACTGTACCCACGTACCTACCTGACCGCACCCATGTACCTGTATGGTCGTACCCATGTACCTGTATGGTCGTACCCCCTATACCCCTATGTATGTACCTCAACGTTTCTGGCCAATAGAAACCAATGGTTTCATTACTCTTAAGTTTAGATAAGATAGATAAAGATAGATAAAGAAAGATAAAGATAGATAAAGATAGCTAAAGATAGATAAAGATAGATAAAGATAGATAAAGAGAGATAAAGATAGATAAAGATAGATAAAGATAGATAAAGATAGATAAAGATAGATAAAGATAGATAAAGATAGATAAAGATAGATAAAGATAGATAAAGATAGATAAAGATAGATAAAGATAGATAGATAAAGATAGATAGATAAAGATAGATAGATAAATATAGATAGATACGTATATTTGTTTATATGTATTGATGCCATGTGTTTTGATGCCATGTGTAGCAAATTTCAGTTGTTTCTTTCTGTGTTGATACTGAAAAACCAGTCAACCGCTTGCAAAACGATCCCCTCCAGACTCTGGCTCCAAGGGACAACTTTGCCACCGCCTCTATCAGCAAAGTCAATGGTGACTTGATCGCCGGAAACGGAACCTGCCACGCCACATGGCCACGGCAGCTGCGGCACTGATCTTGACACAGGGAAACGGCAATTGATGCTGTCAAGATTGCGTTCTAAAGGCTGAATCTGGATTTGCCTTGTGAACAAAGGACTGTTTTCTACTCTCTGGAAAGCGATTTCTGCGTGAAGCTACATGGAGTACCCTCAGTCTCCGCGCCTTTCAAAACATATTTCACTTCTTGCTTTCCCTTGCAAGATCTTCCTCGGTCAGGATCCTGCAAAGCCGCAAGTCATGTCAATCTGCTACAACATCTAAGCAATTACAGAAAAAGAAACGCAGGACATTAGGACATCATATGCAAGCTTTCAGTCCTTCATGTTGACTTGTACTTCGCCATCGTTCAGAGTGATGATTCTCCTTTTGCATCCAGGATATTCTGGATCCTTAGCCCAAGGAGCCCCATCAGTCGGACGGTCCGTAGAAGTTTGCCACCACGTTCTTTCGCATCTGAAAGCGGAAAAGATGTGCAAGAGATGTACAAAAACCAAGTGTCATCGTAGTTGCCGGACAGGTCTTTAGCAAAAGCAGCATCTGGAACGCTGCCTCAGTGAAGAACATGCGGAAAAAGCTGAATGATGTGGCTGATTTCATTGACGAGCAACTCAAGACAGGTGCCACGGCAAGCACTGATAGGACTTCGCGACGGCCGGCACCTGATGCGGACCAATCACAGCCCTGCCAAACCTCTCTTGAAGATTGGCAACATGCCTCACTAACGGCCTTTTTTCACTGGCAATCTCAAACCGTACGAACATATCAGCAACAAAACACAAAGAAACAACAGTTGGCCTCGATTTTGAACAGCACCAAGCTGCAGAAAGCTGGTGGCAAACCTGGCTTTCATCATCCATGTGCTACTTCGTGCAAAGTCTCATTTGGCGGGGCAAACATGGAAAGAATGGAACTTGCTTGTGGACTTGCAAAGTTTCGTATGAAGGAATATAGTGAAGTAATGTGAAGTCTGAATGTGTCTCATTTGCGACCCTTTGTACCTCTTAGTGAGTCTTAGTGTTGAACAATATGTGAATCCTCCAGATCTTCTACTTACCGGTCCAGTTCCTGGTTGCTACTCAAGTCACCTTGTCAATGAAAGGCTGCCGAGAAACCCAAAAACTGCCAGCAATGCCACGAGGGCTCCTATGCGCTGCTTTGGGTAACTGATACTGCAACTGCCCGGCTTGCCAGAAAGCAAAAGAACCCACGGTTGAAGCAGCTCCTGATCCTCTGCTTGCGCGACGCAGCATAGCAACAGCAAGATGTCACAATTTTGATTACAAAACACTTTTTTAAGGCGAACCCTGATGGATCAGTACAGTCCATTTGACACTTCTGTTTCTGGTCACATTTGACAACTTCTGTGGAGCTTTGCAAGGACGTGTTCATACACCATGGTGCATGCCATCGACATGATTTGAACTTGAGCTGAAGGCTTGGAAAGAAAGGTTTCGAGCATCAGCAAAACGAAGACAAACAAGCGACGCTTCAAAGTAGTCAAAGGAATGTATTTCTTCTGGTTCTTTCGGCAAATACATCCAACATCGGCAGCAAGGAACCGCAGTACCTGGCTCTCAGGGTACTAAGCCGAATTGATGAGACGAGGCCTTTTCCACTGATTTCAATCACCGTTTCTGAATAGCTTGCAGCTCAGCTCGGAAGGCAATGCGCCAGCTGCTGGGATCAGAAGCTGGAATAATCAGCATCGACATCCACGGACT